TTTAAATTTCATTTTTAAATATTTATTCTTTATTTTTAGTTATTTTTATTTATTTTATTTTCCTTTAAATAAAAGATCTTCTACTCGACACTTATCATTTTAAAATTTGCTACAGCCTGATAGTTTTTAATAAATTTTATTACAATATATAAAAACAACTAAGCATTAATATAATTTATATAAATTAATCTAACTTGTTAAACAATAAAAATTATAAAGCTTTGAGTTCAACTTTACTATACTAGAATTTTTAATTACTACTATATTGTAACTTACTATAACAAAAATTACATTTAAAAAAAACAATATTTATACTTTTTTTTATGTAATAATTGAATATTGGTGTTGTTTTTTAAAAAAAATCCATCATGATGCCTCTTTTGCATAATTTTAGAACCTATTTTACTTTAGTAAAAAATCCAAGCAATCTTACAAATGCTCTTGTAATATATAACTAGTGTATAAGAAAATATGATGAATTAGAAGCAACTCAACTAAAAACAGAATCTTGCACAGTTAATAGAACATATTTGTGCTGTAATCATTTATCAAAATATGAAGCATTTCATGAAGCTAATAGTAAAGAAGAAGTACAAAGAATTTTAGCTTTACTAGTACTAAAAGATAATTAAAAAAAATAAAAAAACAATGCAGAAGTGGATGGTATGCAGAATTTTTGAACTAAGTAAAGTTATGATCTAAGTTATATTAATACTGAATTATGATTCAATATAGATAAAAAATCCAATACTAATGAATCTACTGATTTGCATTTCAATTCAATAATTTCAAACTCAAGTTACTTATCTATTAATAGTTGACAATTTGCAATCACAAATTTTTTATACCAACCTCTTTTAGCTAATGACTAATTATAATTTGATCAATTGCTTTTAAAAATGATAGTTTCTAATATGCTGCTATTTACTTTTGTTAAAAATAAAGACACTATTGCTGTATTTAAATTTTTAGTACCAGAGCTTAAATTGCCTAAGTGTAAGGTTATAGATGATAGGGTATTAATGAAAAGCATATAATTGTTATATAATAATATAATTAAAGTAGCCAAAAAAAACACAAATAGAGTAACTGCAACTTTTAATAGCTGGACCAATATAAAACAAGAACATATTTGGGGCATAGTTTTTATAACTATAACTGTTCTGCTTTTAGTATAAAAAGCCTATAATATTAGTTTAGAAAAATTACAAACACAAAATGTAATTAATTATATTAAACAATTAATAGTCGAAACTAAAGAAAAACAAATAAATATTAAGACATTTGTTTCAAATTCTGCAGATGAATATGCAGTGATACAGTAAATATAATTATTTTATTTATTTATTTTATTTGTATTTTTTTTTTTGAAGAAGGCTTTCTGATTTTGATTTTGTAGTCAACAATTACAAAGAAAGTATCTCTTAAAAATTTTTATACTATGTATAGTTCATCAAACAAATTTAGTATTTAGTAAAATTTTTAAAAAATCAATTTAATATCAAAGGATTTCTAAAAAAGCAATAAGAATTATGAGTTTTTTTACAAGTCAGTTTTTTTTACAGAAAATCTTAGAGATGAACAAATGCAAATATACAAAAAAACTATTACACTAATTGCACTTAGAGACACAAGATAAAATTTATATTATTGTTGTTTCTACTCTATTTTGAAGTCAAAATTTGCCCTTAAGATATGTTTTTACATTTTAAGTAATTTAATATAGTGAGCAACAATATCATTTTTAACAGTTATTAGTAAAATACATGCAACTGAAATTGCATTATGGGTTGATAAGAAAATTAATACATGTTAGCAACAAAAATTAATATAAATAATATATGGTATTAATTCCTTGGTTTTCATATAGCTTAGATTAATTTTTAGAAAAATTTTGTAATTTTATAATGTAAAATTAAAAAAACTAGCTCCTGATCACTTTTTGTTTACTGTTACAAAAAAATTTCTTTAGTTTAATTATTTAATATATAAAATAATTAGTTTTTTTTTACCAAGTTTAATAGTTATTATAATAATGTTATTCAAACAAAAAGCATTCTATTTGTATCAGCAAATAATCAATTAACACTATGTAATAGTATTCAAAAACTTTCAGATGCATTACTAATATTATAAATGATCTCCAATTTTGAATAGTGTTAACTAATTTACAAGAGCTTTTATATTCCCTTTGTGGCTTTTTAAATAAGTTACAAAAAGATATAGCTTGACTATATGAAGTTTTTATTGTTTTGAGTATATGTTAAAAATATTTGAATACTATTAAGATTTTGAGTTTGGAGAAAAAATAAAAAAATATATCAAATCACATTGAAATAAATAAAAGCAACTATTAATAATTCTTTTTTTTATATTACATTCTCAATACAAGCTTACCAAATTTAACAACATAATTACTAATCTATCCTAAACTCATATTGGCCAACAGCTCAAGTATTATTATAAACTGTAGTTTAATTCTAAACCTATCTCTATTTTAGCTGAATTAATAAAATACAAAAGAAGAGGTGTGGTGACCTAGTGAAGTAGTCAGGTTGTCAACCTCCCAAGTGGTAGGTTGGGTGTTCAAATCCTATTGATAGTGAAAATTTGGATAATCACCTATATAATATTCATATTATGGCAACTATTACTAATGATTGAGTTAGAATACCTGTAATAGCAGTCACATTAGCATGACTGGCAGGTCATAAGGCATCTGTATAAGTATGGCATTATACAGAAGAATGCAAACTGACAAATCAAACAGTGCAAACATTAAATAAGTCCTTGTAGCTATGTAAATCCATTGAAATTAGATAACAAGAAGTCTATTTGAGAAGACCCAAGTAGAGAGATAGCTGAATCTTTGATAGCCCTACTGTAAAGACTAGTTCAGAGAAACAGATACCAAGGTCATAGTACCTAGTCATAATAGCCAGATGGGCAAAAACCTCCAGGTTGGGAGTCTTGGGAGTACTACCAACCAGGCCACCAAAATAAACTGGAGGAAAAGGATATCAAGCCAACTCGATATACTGATAGACTGGTCATAGTTTTACATGGGCTATCTAAATTAGGAGTTTAATAAAAAGGCAGATGAAAAGGCAGGGGTATACTAAAGTACCAGGGTTATGCTATAAAGTAGATATTGGGATCTAAGTGAACTCTATAAGGGCATAGTAGTTTAATGGTCAACTCTGATCGCAAGTGTTGATTCTGCCATAGTAATATTTAGATCAGCTATAAAAATAGGTACAAAAGGCTCTGGAGGGTTTACTTCGAGAATAAATTAGTCCTAAGGTTGAGACAATGATCTGGACATCTGGGTATGACCCAGTAAGTTAACACAGATTACAGATTCAGAGAGTTTAAAGTAGAACATTCAAGCAGGAGTGTTAGATATGACAATTGGTAAAGAACCTTTAGACAGACTCCTTAAATAGGTAATATAGAAAAGTTATGCATGTAGTCAATTGTACTCTCTTCTGTAGTAGGTCATTGAACCACAATACTGATAAGTGATTAATAAAAGTCAAAAAACTAAAAAGGTCACCTTAATAAAAAAAATAAAGTAAAATAAAGTATAAAAAAGGAATTATTCTATATGATACTGAATTATTTATGCAATTTGATAGAAATTTAGTAGGTTTTTAGAAATTACCTGAAGGTGTAGATTCAGAATTAGCATGAGCAGCAATTTATATTTATGGTGTTTATGTTAATTCTGCATTTGTAGAATATTTGTGATCTTTTATAAAGTTATTATATACTAATTACTAAAACCAATTGCAAGTTTAGTTATTTATGATCTAAGTTATTTTTTTTTTAACTAATTATTTTATATTATTACTGCTAAAAATCTTTTTACAGTATTATTGATTGATTAATTGTAACGAAATTAAAGATAACAATTATTAGTATTTTTTTTTAAAAAACAGACTAAACAATTAATTATATTAAAAATTTTTAATCAAATTACTAATACAGGTATATAATATTTAAAAAACTTTGAAAAAGCAGACAAATTGCAAATAAAAAATAGGTTTATCTTATGTTTATATTTATTTATTGTATTAATATTACAGTCAAAAAATGTCTTAGCAATAATTAAGATTCAAAGTAATATTTTTTGTTCTTGCAAAATCAAAAATACAAAAGAATATGATAATCAAATCCACTAACTACATATTGTAACATTTATTTTATTAGATAATAAAATTGTTAAAGAATTGACTATTGCAGATTTGAATTATCAAGTGAGCAATAATAAAAATGAAAATAATAACACAACTACCAGGTCTAATAATCAAACAAATCAAGATTTTAATAAAAACTTAGTTATAAAAGAAGAGCAAAGTTGAGAAATCTAATTAATAATTGGATTGAGTTTGGAAATTGTGAAAACCAATTTGAAGATTAGATTAATAAAATTTTGTTAACAAGTGATTAGAACACAAATTTCAATTTAGGAGGACAAACAAAACATTCTGCTAATAATGAAGAAGTCAAATAGTCTTTAGATTTGCTTTTTATTTTTTCTTTAAAAATATCTTTGTATTTTGATTCAGAATTTACTACTAATAAATAAAACATTTATTATTAGTATTATAAAAATTGGATAAAAAAGATGAAGATAGAGCATTCAATAATCTAATAAAATAGAAGTACTGAATTGAAATTAAAAAGATAAATATTAGGTATTTATTAATGTATAAAACTTTGGTGAATGAGTGTTGAAAAATAAATGTAATAAATTAATTGATCAACTGCTATGAAAAATGCTAGTAAAATAATTTAAGTTAACAAACATAAATATGAGGCATTTATTAATTTAGGCTGCAAGATGTAGTGACCTAGTGAAGTAAATAGATTGTCAACTCCCAAGTAGCAGGCTAGAGTTCAAATCTCAGTAACAGTAAAAATTTGTAATTCTTTCTGTATTATGGTTAACTGTCTTCTGTAATTGGTTGAAATTAGATACTTGTAACCTGTATCATACTAGCATAACTAAGGTTTAGGCACTTGTACAATGTTGTATAAAGAAATACAAACTGGTACTAGGTGGTGTGAACTCAAAATAGGTTCTTAGGTCATATAAATTATAGGAACCAGATAAAAAGACAAAAGCCTACATGAAAGACTTAAGTAAAAAGGTAACCTAAACTTTTGACAGTGCTACTATAAAAACTAGACCTATAAAACAGAACTAGAACTTGTAAAATCTAGCAAATATGCTGATCTTTAAGAAGGAACTAAATGAACCAATTAGGCTGCTAGAATTTTCAGATTTCAGAAAAAAAAGGTACATGCTTGCAAACATGTAAACTAGAGATATGGTTACAGCCTATCTTTCTAGGCTATCTGAAATAGCAGCTTGATAGAACTTGAATTAAATATCAAAGTAATAGAAATATGTTGTAAAGTCAGTACCAGGTTTGAGGTGAACTCTATAAGAGCATAGTGGTTTAATAATATGTTCTAATCATCAGTGTTGGTCTTAGCTATTGTGATACTAAGTCAGCTGTAAGAATGTAATACAGAAGTTTCTTGAAGGTTTAGTATAAGGTCAAAAATTCCAAAGAACTGCTTTAAAGACTTAGTTGCTATGGCATATTTTTACTAACATTGG